CTTGAGGCCAGGAGTTCAAGGCTGTAGAATGCTATGACCGTGCCTGTGAATAACCACTGCATTCCAGCCTGGGCAACATTCTTAACCATTCTTTCTCAATTTTCTCAAGTATAAAATAAGGATTATAACAGTACCTACCTTATGGGGTTGTTATCGGGATTCAATGAGTTAATCTGTGTAGAATACTTCATACATAGTCAGTGCCGTATGTGTATTGTCTGAATCCTCAAAAACATCTCTTAAGTAGATATTTAACAGATGAGGAAACTGAGGTTCAGTGAAATTAAGTTGCCCAAGGTCATATCATGCTAGTTAGGCCCCCAAGCCAGATCCAATTCCCGATTGCAAAGCATTTGTTCTTAGCCACAATGCCACACTGCGTCTCATTAGCACTCAAATATTTATTAAAAGAATCAGTGGTGAGATAAAGATGATTTTTGATTACCTGCAGTGGGCTTGCTAACCTGTACCATCCTTCCGCCTTCAGTATCAGCTTGTTCCCTACAGGCACTGATCTATAACATCGGCACACAGAGAGGTGATACTGACAGATTGGAGCTTCAGCCTAAAGTAAAACTGAACACGCCGAGTCTCCAACTTCTGCAAAACGGGAGAGAAATCTTTAAGATTCTGGTTATTGGTCTTCCCATATCAGTAAAGTACATGTTATTTTATAGATCTGAATCTTTTAGGAAATTGAGCAAACGCAGATTAGAGAAAATGAGTTAAGGGATTAAGCATCTAGATATCTTATATCTACCTTTCTCCCTTAGGGATCCTTCTAAATATATTTTTGTCTTAATAATCGGTAAACACCAAGCTCCTAAAGCTAAATGTGCTCCTCACTATAATAATATGTCAAGAGAGTGAAATGGTGTATGCTTCTAGTTCATTCCATCTAGTGCATTCTTTTTAAAGGCAGGAGAGGTGCTTAGCCTTACCAAGCATGGGGCTTGGAGTGCCTCTAAAGAGAGTGAAAGAGACCAGAAATTGGTTTCATTCCTGCCTCTGCTCAAAGACTGCAAACCCCAGGTTTGGTTGTTAAGCAGGTCACTGACTGGAACTGAGCAGACAGTTCGAAGCAGGTGACATGGAACTGGGGTATTCTTCCGTGACAGTGCCTCCACAGGAGGATGTGACACGAAAAGGCCCAAAGACATCAAAGAGCACCAAGATGCAGAATGTCCAGCTCCCAATCTACATTTTTAGAAACCAGTTCAATGGCTCCTACTCTGTAGATGAGAAAGGCAGGGAGGACGAAAGCGGTTTGAAAAAATACAGATACATGTTTTCCTCCAAAGGCCCCCAGGCTTCTCATCAGATAGTTTCCAACAAGACCAATTAACCGTTTCCATTCTAAGTGGTCCCTTCCTTTTCAGGAGGATTATACTCATGTAGTATCAACAGCAACCAACCTCTTGGCTGGTCGCTGCGACTCAACTATATTGCTAAGGGAGAAATCCACAGTTATCCACAGGGGAAAGGATTCTAGCAAACAACAGTGCTTTTACTTCTACCATTTACTCCAGGAGTACATGCATGTAAGATGAAGGAAAGGGGATGAAGAGAAAAAAGAAACCTCCCAGGGAAGCACTGAGAAGAAAGGTGGAAATGTTGAGCGTAATTTTAACAAAGCAAGGAGGGAAGGCACTGCACAGTGTAGTAGTTATGGGAAACTTGGCTTGGAATTGGAAAGATCCAGACTCTGTCACTCTCTGCGACCTTGGAGAAATTACAGAACCACCTCCTGTAAGTCCAAGAGTCTGTTTCCTTCTTTAAAAACTGGTTAGAGCAACAGTGTATTCTCCCTAGAGGTATCAACTATCAAAGCAGAACCCAAGTGAAGGGCACAACGCCTGGAATATGAGCTGATACTAACCAGTTTGCCTTTTTTTGCACGTCACCTTACACTAACATCACTTGCCAACTAACACTAACAGAGTATTTATTATGTACTAGGCCCAGTGCTGAGCTCTGGATTTCAAAGAATTAAGTCAAGGCTTCGATGAATTATATTAATATGCCAGGCTTAAACTTGGGAGTATTTGTACTCTTTCCCAGATTACTGCAAGGACTAAACAGAAGATGCGTCTTGTGAGGGGTTTAGTGCAGTGCCCGGCACACACGAAGTACTCAAGAAAAGGTAGATTCTATTACATCAAGGGCAAGCCCCATTTGTCCTGGTAACAAATAGGAGGGTGAGAGGGTTGACCTGAACCTGTTTTTCCTGCCCCTGTTTAGCTACATCCTTTGCTGCCAGCCTTTAGACTCCCTGGTCAGTCCCTAGCCTATACAAGGTGCTTGGCTCTTCTAGAACAACTATGGAAGGACCCTGCAACTCAAGAGCTTGAAGGTTAAGGTTAAAATAGAGAAAATTAGTAATAGTAGCTGGAAGGAAGCCTAAGGGGCTGTGGCCTCTAGTAATGTTATTTCTCGATCTGGATGCTAGTTATATAGATGCCTTCACTTTGAAAAACTTCAATAATTAAAACGTATGCTCTCTTTTCTGTGTGTTATGTTATAAGAAAACATTTTTTAGAAATAGGAACTCTCTCTCCCCATTACCTAAAGCATAAAGGAGCCCTTCCCAATGGTATGCCACAAGTGGGTCACAGGCATGTCAGGTCAGTTACCTGTGGCAGCAAGTAGCCTTGTCAGTTGACCCCGGGGAACAGGACAAGTACCATCATTTTTTGATTAAGAATGCACTGATCTCAAGTACCAAGAACAATATCCTCCTTAATCTGTACCAAATGAACAATATCCTCAATCATGAGTTTACTTCTAGGTTTTTTCCACCTAAAATCAATTTTATTTACTCAATTTTTAAATTACTTTTATTATCTCCAACAACAAGAGAGTGCACAACATTTAAGGGTCAACAGCCCTAGACTGGGCCAGATGTGGTGGCTCACTCCTGTAATCCTAGCATTTTGGGAGGCTATCACTTGAGGCCAGGAGTTTAAGACCAGCACAGGCAACACAGCAAGACTCTGTCTCTACAAAAAAAAAAAATTAGCTGGGTGTGGTGATGCACACCTGAACCAGGAGGCTGAGAAAGAAGGTTCGCTTAAGTCCAAGAGTCTGAGGCTGCAGTGAGCTATGATGACACCACTGCACTCCAATCTGGGTGACAGAGTGAGACCCTGTCTCTAAAAAAACAAAAGTTCCTCTAGCCCTAGACTGCTCTCTCCATTGATAACAAGCAAATGTCTAGAACATCCCTTTTTCTCCAACATCCTTTCCCCAAAATCCATGAATTGAAACCTAAAAAAAATTTTCAATCATTTATAAAGTCAATGGATGCGATACAGAATACATGCTGGTTTTCTGTTTGAAAGTTTATTGTCATTTAAAAAAAACCTATACTTTTTACATTTTACATTCACCTCTCAGAACATTTAATGGTACCAGTTAATGATATATAAAAAGCCCACCAGCTGTTGGAAATGGCTGCAAATTTACCATGTTCTGATATTAAAGTGGTTTCAACTCTTTGGAAAAACAGGTGTAACATTTAAGTACCAAGATTTCAAATTCACAGATGAGAAAAAATTTTTAAATCCAGAGGAATTTAGTAAAAATTCAAGGCTAAAAGGAAATTTTAAAACAAAATGAAAAATACCATAAAAAATAGGATACCCCACCCCCAAACATTAGGTAAAAAAATGCAATCAACCCTGCCCCACCATATTTCTCTTAGAAAAGCCACTGAGTCCTGAACACAGGGTCTCGTACACAAACACATGTAGCTTGATTTGCAGATGAGCCTCTGGGATCTTACACTGGCTCTAGTTAGAAGTTTAAAAAGAAAAATTAAGTTAGGTAGTCAGATATCCATAAATACTGGTATTCAAAGGAGAACATCTTGGCTTTGGTATGGCTACAGAAATCCATCTGGAAATTGTTCAAGAGGGCACTAGGTTGGAGAGAAGGGGTGTGGAAGTGGGTATACAAAAGCCCCCGGAGGTAAAATAAATAGTGGGACACATCCATGGAAAATACTGTACATAATGCGTGGGGCAGCTGCCTCTAACACAACACACATACAGCTTTGATTTGCATATCAGCCTCTGGAAGCTGGACCAAACCTTTTCAAAGTATCGCTTTCAGGAAATAGTTTGAACTGGGAAATTCATCCGGTGCCGTAGGGTCTAGTGAGAGACAAAGACCTCAAGGGATAAGAATGGCCAGCCAGGCTAAAGGCCAGCCTCCTCTTACTCTGGAAAACTCCAAGTCTGTCTTCCCCTTTTAGTTAGGCTTCTGCCCCTGGTCTCCACAGAGGCCTGTCAGAAGGGTTCAACTGCTGATTTTCCACTTCTGGAGTGACTGAATCAATTACTTCTTCTGGGAATAGGAATGTAATTTATTATGCTGTGTCTCGAGTCTACTTCACATTTTCCCTAATTTCCACTAGGCCATGATTAGGGTTGTGAGGACACTGAGCAGAAGCCCGTGGTGGGTGGGGTCAAGACCATGTCTAGGTACGGCCTCGAATACCCTCAAAAGTCACAAAGAAGGCAAAAGTGCTCATACCCTGGACTTCAAATAAATAGTTACTTCACAAAAGCACAAAGGTGCCACCAGATCGAGGGGGGCGGGAGGGGGAGGCAACTTGTTGCTGCTTCAATGCGGAACCCTCAGCGGTTATCGATACAATCCTTTATGATAAGAACAAACTTTGGTATGCTGTTATAGGAGGACAAAGATGATCACTTAAAAAAAAAAAAAAAAAGAAGCCCACCTTCCCATAGGAAAACATACTAAATGTATGTAAATAAATTCCCATCCCAGAGCACCAGATGATAGCCAATCACTGGCTGATATACGATGTTACATACACCACAATGACAATTCCAGCTAGAGAAGTCCTCCCTCACTGCAAAGGCCATCAAGGACAAATAAAAGGTGAAGTCTGTTTACTGTGGGCTTGGTTCAGGGCAGTATCATCACAATAATGGGGTATCGGAGGGCAGAAAAGAAACACAGAATGCCCAGGCAACTTTTGATAACAGCATCATTTATCCTGTTTTCTAAATAAGACTCCAACACCAAGAAAAAAAAAAAAAAGAGAGAGGAAAAAAGGGATTATAAGTTAAAACAAAAATCTATCTGTACAAGTCTTTACTCTGAGTCAGTAAGGTTTGGTCTCTGTGGAAGCCAGAAATTAGGAGAAGGTGCTTTACTTGTCACTGCAGCATCCACCTTGCTTTGGGGTATGTGCGTCAAGAGACAACAGAAAGAGAATCACTTGAGACCAAGGGAATTACTTACAAAGATTTCCTAGGATGTGTAAGGTCTACTAGTTGCCCACAGAGACACCAACAGTTGCTCTAACTGCAATTTCTTCAACATCTCAAGATGGCCACTGGAATACAGAAAACCCCATCACCTCTCACCCAATCAATCCCTTCTCCATAAACGGGAATGAGGGGAGGGAACAGGGAACGTAGGGAAGGCTATTTCATCAGGACCCATTGGGGAGAGTGCAGGTTCAGCGGCACCTACAACAGAGCTTTCCTTATCTTCCACCTGGGCCCGATCTCCCAGGAGGCTGTGGGTGCCCGTGGCCTGACAATGAGGTTCCACAGGTTTGGAAGGGCCAATGTGTGACAACGGCATCAGCAGAGAGTGAAACCTGAATTATGCATGAGAGTCCATAGATCACTGATTATTGCACTATCAATCTCACCTCCCTCCCAACAAGTGATTACCCAGATCATCAGCCTGTGGTACATACCACTTCTATTTACTTGGGAACAGGGGCTTTAAGAAAAGAATTACAAATGAAAACTTCTGAAATGACCACTTCTTGTTCCAGCTTGAGCTAAGACAAAAGTGTTTGAATAAATCACTTGCATTCAATAACATTTAAAATATGTTAACTTTAACACATTATGAACATGAAAGGTCTCCCCCACCCATTACTTCAGTGCATACAGTCTCCCAGGCAAATTTTCCATCATTCAGCCAGTGGAACGGATGGCATGTGCCAGATGTTACATAGGCATTTACTCCTTGGAGAAGGCTGAGAGCCAGGAGAATTAATCTCCTTCTGCTAGGACCTCTGCCCCAAGCTTCTGGGGAAACAGTGAATTGGGCTCGTCAAGGGAAGTAGCTATGTGATCCACTAATCAGATTCAAATCATGAAAATGCCCTCTAGAGTGTATTCCTTCCTGTTCTTCTCCATGGTAGAAAGACCTAAAGATAATTAATAGAAAGAACTATCCCTTCAAACTCAAAGCAGAAAAAAACAAAAACAAAACCCAAAAAGACACAGTATAACCAAAAAATAAAGAAATAAAACGAAAGTAAATCAAACTCTCAATACTCCTGAAAGTTAAACAGTCCCATGGTGACTGATGTCTGGAAGAAGTCGAGGCAGAAAAGACTGACAAAGATCAAAGAGCCAGCCACAAAAATGCCTTGAGAAATCCATGACAGTGTTCTCCATTTCCAAAGCCAGGTAGCCATTCCCAGTAAGTAAAAAAATTTTCTATTAAAAAACAAAACAAAACAAAAAAATAAAAACCACTCCGGGAAAAGGGTCACGAGAAGAACACTGTAGAAAGTCAAGCTGCTGACCGCCGGCGGATCACAAAGAGCCCACGCTGAAGCTGGCCCAAGTAGATCCTCATCTTGGTGCTGTCACTTGTCTTCCTCACCCAGATCTGTAGGAAAGAAGAAAGGGAACAAGATGGGAGAAGCTAAGAAGAGCAAATCTCCCAGAACATCAAAATATTTTCATGAGTTAGATGTGGACAGAAAACTGGCAACTTCTTGCTTAAATGAACTATCTCAACCTCCAGAGACATCACAAAGATCTCCTTGACCTTGGGCCATCCTGAAGGTATATGCCTCTGGTGTAGGAAACAGGCATCAGCCTTGAACTCATTTCTCCTGGCCATCTTGCTCACACCTCTGATCACAAAATGGAAAGCACAGTGATCTTGGGTTCCATTTCTGCCTCGATCTTCCAAAGACTCTCAAATTTGGTTTGATTACAACATTATCACACTCAAGAGACATGTATTCATGAACACAAACTTTCAATCTTATCTGGAAATATTTTCCTTGCCCCAAGGGACTCCCATATTATATGACCTTTCAATACTCTGATTTCCTGGCATCAAAGGGTAATGGTTGTAACAGAAAAAGAAGGAAAAAAAAATACCAACAATAAAAAAGATGCTCATGAGTGAGCTAGGGACAAATTACAATCATAAGAAGGCTGAAGAGCTCACAACCGTCCTTCCCTCCCCATATCCCTCTCCCACGGATGGGAACAGATTTCTCACATGTGGACTGCCAGGGTTGACAAGTACACTTAGTAAGTGGCATCCTGCAGCTGGAGACAGGAAGGAGAGCTGCCGCCAGTTGCCTGACACCCTCGGGCTCTTACTGTGTGCCAGACATTGTGCTCTCAGAACAGCCCTATGAAGTGAGTACTGTCATTGGCCCCATTCTATAGAAGAGAAAAAAACCAAAGCTCAGCAAGGCTGAATCACTTGTCCCCAAGTCATTCAGGCGCCTGACATCAAAGCCTCTCGCTCTTCTCTATTAAACCAGCCCCTGACTCTTCTCTTTCTGTAACACGCAACTAAATGAAGCCAAAAGCGTGGCTTTTTTTTTTAAAAAGTCCTGCGCCTCACCCATACATACAAGTTTACAGACATATCTCCTCCTTCCCCAACTCCATTTTCAGGTTTTAAAAAAAGCTTATTCTCAGTTTCATCTCAATTTCTTTCATGTCATTTAGCAACAGAGAGACTTTAAAGTCAAATACACTGGTTCAAAAATAAAAAGTTAAAGATCTCACATAAAGCTAAGCCTCTAAAGGACCTTGCAGAACCATTTTGAACTGAAAACCAACCACATGGAGGGCTAAATCAGGGAGTCACCAACATGCTCATACCCACCTACCAAACCCGCTCAGAGCTAAGTAATGCTAAAGCCAAGTAGCTCCAGTGCCACTTAGAATTTAATCTGAAAAAGGAGCAGAACACTTCCAAGAAATGAGGTGTTTCCTCATTACCAAAGTTGCATGTCCCCAACACACTGAGGCTTCTCTTCTCCAGGAGACATGTCTCAGTGTCACTGTTTCCTTGTCAGATCTCTCCGACACTCTATTATGTCAAAAGGTGATAATATTCAACAGAGAGAGAGAAAAAAAATGTAACTTGCATTTTTATTCTTCTGAAAAATCTTGAGGTGTCAGAGGAAAATAATGGGTCTGAAGTTAGGTTTAGGTACTAGAAGGCCATGTGAGCTACCAGAGACCAAAGAGCTGCCTTCTTTGTGCAGCAATCCACACAGCTAGGTAGAAAATGCTCTATCATGAAGGCACAACACTGCTTGGCTGAGGAACAGTAGGTCTCTCTATTAGATCCCCTGTTCTGGTTTTGACTTGGTTTGAGGTGACTCACAGAACCTGAGCCCAGAGAAGAATGACATTCATTTACCCGGAGGAATGCTCTCCCTAACTTCTAAGTAAACAATCATTTTGCAAACTAGTCACATATTATGGCATTTTCAATTCAGGAAGCTGGGAGAATAGAAGAGGCTTAAGTTATTTCATAATCCAGTTTCATTAGATTTACTGTGCATTGGCACAAATAAGTTACAGAGGGTAGACACGTAAAAATCAATTTCTTTGCAGACATTTGTGGACTGATAAAAGATCAAGCCAATCCAGCTATTAAAGTCATAAACTTTATCTACTAACAATACAAGTCACATATTGTAGACATGATTCTAATGAAGGGCCACGTGAACTCACAAGGCAGTCACATCATCTTCAGGTGTAACCCTCTGAGCTGACCCCATCCTGCAGGAGTGACTCAAGGAGACCAACATCTAAGGGCATGAGGCTGGCAGTATGACATTCAGAGGCACAATGGGACATATCAGTAGGAAAGACAGCAGGCTAGGAGTAGCATGTGGGTCTGATCAGGCCAGCACCCATGTGGCAAGCTTTGCTGGGTGCTAGATCCTAAGCCAGGTGCCTCATTAAATCCTCACAGCAAGAAACAAATCTATTTGTATGTATGAAACTTCTAGAGAAATAACAAAGACGGAGTATGCTCCATAGGCAAGCTCCATGCTCAGAAGACAGTTACCTTAAAAAGCAGCAGGATTTGAATGTACAGGTATCACACAGACTTGCCTTTTGTTCTTTGCTGTAGTGTAGTTCAGTGGTTCCCTGTTCATTTACTGTATGGGGAGTTCACAAAGACCACAAGGAATATACAAATCTGCACACATAGTCACACAAATGTAAGGGATTTTCAAGGGTCATTTAGACTAAGTGCAATTTCTGCCTAAAAATACTAACATTAGACTCTAACCCACATGTAAGACATGATTTCACTGTACTTCCTTTGTGGCACTTTCATTTCAGGTTTGTCATATTTTCAACACTTCAAGGAGCACATTTTGCTTTCTTAAGGGTGAGACAGTGCAGTTCCTACCTCATTGGCTCCGACAGAGCTAATCACACAGCTCAGTTTCTGGTTGTCCTTTGACTCCAGATAGATGGCTTGGCTCTTGTGGTACCTGCCAAAACCAAGGCACAAATTAAAAAAAAAGAAGACAGGGAGGAAGGAAGAAAAAAGGAAACAAACGAACAAACAAACAAAACACAAAAAACGCACTACAACAGAAACTATAATTAAAGAAGTCTTAATTTATATTTGAGGAAGAGCCTGGATTTCAGAGGGTTTGATTTAAAGGTTTCCATCCCTAGATTGGATTAGATGACTTCCTAATCTTCCTCTGGATATAATCTTATATTCCTTGGTCCCTCTGCAGAGGAGAAAGGGGAGGGAGGCTGGGGGAAGGCTTGGAAAACCAAATGAGTTTCCTATTTATTTGGACTATATGACCCAGTCCAAAAAGTAAAGTAAAACTTCTGTTCCCACTTGCTGGCCCCACCCCAAAACATTGAAGGTTGGATGGACAAAACAGATAGGCTTGAACTGTTGTTATCATTTTCTGTCTGTTCAAATATGTCACCAACAAGAAGGCAGGCCGAATTCAGCCCTGAGTTCAGTCACTCATTAAAAAATACTCGCTAAGCACTTACTGTGTACCACTGATTGATTATGCTGGAGATTGAAGACAGTGAACAAGGCCACAAGGTCCCCTGCTATCACAGAACTTCAAATACAGTGGGGACAAAGAACATTAAATAATCACACCTGGTTGTGCTAATCAGGAGAAGTTCCAAGTGTCAAGATGTACACCAAAGGGTATCCAACTTGACCTGGACAGGGGGAAAGCTCCTGTGATTGGAGGAGATAAGAAAGGCACACCCTTTTCAACTCTTGCATCTACTCTCTTGGCCTGTAGTGCATGGCCACTGCTAACTTCTAGAAATACAGAGACAAGGCTAAGGACCAAAGTGAACATGCCAGGGCCAAAGCCCAAATGGGACAATAGCAGCTGCCACAGGATGAAGCAGCAGCTGCTGGATTACAAGAGTTGGAAACACCAGCTGAGCTGCTGCTAGCAGCCCCAGTCCCTGGGCCAGCCCAAGCTCAGTCAAGAACATAACCTTTGGTTCATTTTGGCTGCAGAGATCTGCCTAACTGGACTCAGCTAAACAGACTCATAAACTCATGTAAATTCCACCAAAACACAGCTCTCAGCAAAGCACTGCATCTTATTACTATTATTTCTCTAGGGAAAGATGACTCTGTTTTGTTGCTACAATGAAATAACCTACTGCCAAGATATCATAGTAAAGGATATACTTCAATTCCACAATGAGCTTTTTCCAATCTAGGTTCTAAGTGCTCTTTAACCCTGCTACTTAGGGAGCTGAAAACTCAGGTTTCCAAGTCAATTTACTTCCTGAAAATACTGGTAAAGGAAATTGAATTTTAAATGCAATTAGAATACTGAGATTGGTTTAGGCCCAAGTTTTGAAGTTACTTTTGGCCATGCGTTAGCTGGTAAATGGGTCAGAGACCTTCATTATGCTAAACATGTAATATTACAAGGTCCAAATTATACAATGCATGAGGCGGCTAAATTAGTTCATGGCAACACTCTAACACTTTCCTTGGTCTCTCTATTGCATCTAAGCTAACTGTCCTATGTAAAGTCTTGAGTAATGGTTAAAATAAAAATACAGAGGGAGAAGAACATTCACAGTTGTTCCATAGGGATTGTGAGTTATTAAAGAGATAAAAACACAAAAGAAAACACAACTAGCCTCAAGGCATTCTAAACACTTTAATAAAAGTAAGGTCATGGGTGGGGTGCAGAAGTTTATTACTAGTGTAGAAACATGCTCAATATACTGTTAAGTGGAGGGAAAAATACTATGTCCACAATGTTCCTGGGTTTGTAACAAAATATACATGTTTCCTGTGTACCACATACACACAAAAAAATCAGTAAATATATATTAAAATTTTATAAAAACGTAAATTAAGAATGGTATTTCTTTTACTGTATAGCTTCCTTTTTAAAGAAAAAACAGGTGTTACATAAAAAAGTAAATAGTATTTTCATAAGTCATGGTATTTTTTGAGACAGAGTCTCACTCTCTTGCCCGGGCTAGAGTGCTATGGCGTCAGCCTAGCTCACAGCAACCTCAAACTTCTGGGCTCAAGCAATCCTCCTGCCTCAGCCTCCCAAGTAGCTGGGACTACAGGCATGCGCCACCATGCCCGGCTAATTTTTTCTATATGTATTTTTAGTTGGCCAATTAATTTCTTTCTATTTTTAGTAGAGATGGGGTCTTGCTCTGGCTTAGACAGGTTTCGAACTCCTGAGCTTGAGCGATCCACCCGCCTAGGCCTCCCAAAGTGCTAGGATTACAGGCAAGAGCCACCGCGCCCAGTCTCATAAGTCATGGTATTAGAAAATACCTAAATGACAAACATGAGGTAAAAAGAAAACTTAATGTTACAAAGATCTGTAAAGAAAACCATTGACTCTGAAAGACTATCCAGACGATTCTCACAAGACGTATGTGTTTTCCTTTAGTTGTACTTAGAAACCAAACCCAACACATTTGACAGGCTTAAAAGTCAACACTAGGAATAAATAACGAAACCTGGTCTATTACCTCTGAGAAGTGGTTTTGGGACTTGGGCATCTGACTACATCCCAGATCTCCCTCCTCTGGGATCACCAAACAGTGTGGTGTGAATGTCCACCATTGGTCCCCATTTGTTCCACAGAAGAGCTGGCCAGGGTGCTTCCCAAAGCAGCCGACTTTAAACCAACTGGTCCCCAGGTCCCTCCCGAACCACAGTCTCTGGGACCTTCAGGGTATTCTCACATACCACACAATGGTCTTGGGGAACCATTATCCCTGGATGTCAAATCTATTAAATTATTTGAATTCTCTGAAAAGTCCTCAGAAATTAAAGTGTTCACATGGGGGGTTTTTAAGACGAAACCAAAAGGTATATGGCAATCTTAAAAATTTACTTTTTAATTTCTAAAGAATAAAAGAGAAAAGAATTCAAAATATATTTAGATATAAAATGTGTTAAGAAGCAACATCAATAGAGGCAAATTAATAAAAATGTCCATTATCTTTTTTTTTCCCTCCAATTAACCCATTTGATAAGCTACAACTCAGCTGCTGAAAAAAACCATTTTAAACAGCCCCAAATGTCAAATTGACTTTATTACTAATGGAAATTCTGACCTGGGAATCTCTATAGTTAAGCTCTTAAAGCTTTGCACTTCCACTATTAAATCCAACAAACTAGAATTATTACCACTACTGTACTATTTTGGAAGAAAGCAATTTCTTTTAGAAGGTGGGCCCAAAAGTAGGGCAAGGAGGGAGGAGAATTAATTTTGTATCCTATGGAGAATCCTGATATTAATGCTTCATTTCTCAAAAAACAAAGCGATTTTACAGCTATAGAACCTCAAGGAGTCCCAATTCTAGTTGTAAATATTCACTGTTTTAAGTTAATAGTCTTTTTTTTTTTTTTTTTTTGAGACAGAGTCTCACTTTGTTGTCCAGGCTAGAGTGAGTGCCGTGGCATCAGTCTAGCTCACAGCAACCTCAAACTCCTGGGCTCGAGCGATCCTTCTGCCTCAGCCTCCTGAGTAGCTGGGACTACAGGCATGAGCCACCATGCCCGGCTAATTTTTTATATATATATATCAGTTGGCCAATTAATTTCTTTCTATTTATAGTAGAGACGGGGTCTCGCTCTTGCTCAGGCTGGTTTTGAACTCCTGACCTTGAGCAATCCGCCCGCCTCGGCCTGCCAAGAGCTAGGATTACAGGTGTGAGCCACCGCGCCCGGCCAGTTAATAGTCTTTTATGTCAATCGTAGGGTTAAATCTACTTGAGCAAGCTGGTGACTTCATTTCTGAGACACATTAGCAGGTCCAGATTTCAAGTGAGGAGAGAAAACACAGTCTACCAGCACCATCAGTTATTTAATTATTTTAAAATATCAGCTACTTTCACAGTATTTTTTGAGAGAGGTCATTGGTCCAAATCAAAATGTGAAGCAAACTTACAGTGTGATATAAAATGCCTTGGCCGGGCGCTGTGGCTCACGCCTGTAATCCTATGACCAAGGCAAAGGGAAGATGTTTATCTTTCGGTGGCTTGATAAGTGTTCATACCAGGATGGGAAGCCTGAAGTCATTTGAAAGTCAGTAAAACGTGTTTTGCCAAAAATACTGCTGCACCAAAATACTGGAAAGAGTATAAAGTGACTTAGGTGACCTCTTAGCCACAGGCCATGTCTGCTGCAGAAGAAAAAAAAAATGAAGCCTCGGGACTGCAAGGATACAAAAACCAAACATCAAAAACCCCATGAGACAGGAGAGGATGGTTTTGCACCAGTGAAAGCCTAGGCCGGGACTCCTGGAATCACCTTTCATTTATCATCCGGGAAGGGAAGGACTCACCTTCCAATAACTGCTTTATGAACTCTGATTGCCAAGGCCAAAAAAGAAAAACATACAGAATGCAGAAGAAAACAGCATTCTCAAGGTGTATTTAACAACAGACTAAGCAACTTTAAATTCATTAAAAAGTAAAGTGCTTCCAGAGACATTATTTTTTAAATTTCTGCTGAACTATGAGAAAGATGGTGAAAGAAAATTCCTTTGAAATACTTGTAAGTTCTAAAACATCAAATCTGACTGCTCTGTTTACATTATGAAACACCAGGCACTGCAGATTCTTTCTTTAAAAAAAAAAAACAAACATGAATTTTAATTTATACATTTTCACCCTCAAGACACATCTCATAAAGTCTGAGAAACCTAAAAAGAGGAAGATCCGAAGCAACACAATTACAAAATAAACATCATTTGAAATATCACGTGGCTTTAAGACTCATAGATCCGTAAAAATGTTTGTGATAAATCTTATCATTTTCAAAGATGGTTCTTACGTGTGGACCTGATCTTTAAAGGTTGTTTGGTTTTCATTATTAGAAACATTTTTCATCATATTTTGTCGTTTTCAGTGTGTTGAGCTGTTAGGGCCTGCCATCTAGTGGTCATATCTTCTGATAAGCAATGTTAAGATACAATAACTAACTGACCTTTGTGAAGAATGCCCAAGAATAATAAAATCAGAGAGGCAGATGTCACCAAGATCAGGCTTACAGATAAAGCAAGCCTCTAGAATCCACTGAGTAATCAACTCAATGTAACTTAATAGGTGGAAATGATTTATTCGGGCATGACTAAATCTCTAACCATTTTTGATGAGTACAATATCATAAGGTAACCAACACAATGCTCGGTTTTTTCTTTAAGCAAGCTCAAAAAACCTAAAGTAACCGTTATCCTAATTTTGGAACTTTTGGCTAAAGATATTGAAACTCAAAGGGTCATTCCATTATAAATGATTATTACAAAGAGCATAAAGTAACCAAGAAAAGCATTCTCAATTTAACCAAGTGGAAAGGCAGAACAAGCCATGTGTCCACTATGACTTAAAATGAGTAGAGAATGCCTGCATATGGACAAAGAATAGAAAGAAATATCAGAACTAAAAGATCTGTGAAAAGATGGCAGGATCCAGGGTGATTTAATACCTACTAGAATGCCTAATGCAAAGCAGACAATAAATGCTTGTTGAATGAACTGTATCAGCTTTTAAGGTTCTTTCATATTGTTTTGCCATTTTCTTTCCAATAAAAATCACTGGTAAGATGTGCACCGTCTGGGGCATGGGCACACTTGAAGCTCAGACTTGGGGGGGGGCCAAGGGCACTAGTTGAAACCTTAAAATACGTACCCCCATAATATGCTGAAATAAAAAATAAATAAATAAATAAAATCACTGGTAGTCTGAAGGTTTCAGACTTCAATCTCAACTAGGAATGCTTTAATATACAATTCCTCCAGGTATGTTTCCTGGAACACATCTGCAGCAAGATGATACGTGAGAAAATGGTATGGTATCAAAGAAAAAACACCTAATAACATCTTAGAAATTCACAGTACACATTAGTATATCATGGGACCCAAAGAGTACTACAAGGAGGAAACCCATTTATTATTAAATGGGCCCTAAATCCATTTAACATGATCATCCATCAAACTGATTTTTTTTTTTTTTTTTTTTGAGACAGAGTCTCACTTTGTTGCCCAGGCTAGAGTGAGTGCCGTGGCATCAGCCTGGCTCACAGCACCCTCATTCTCTGAGGCTAAGAGTTCCTCCTGCCTCAGCCTCTGAGGTAGCGGGGACTCAGGCTATGCGCCCCATGCCCGGGCTAATTTTTTCTATATATATTTTAAGTGGGTCAATTAATCTCTATTTTGGGAAGAGCGGGGGTCTCGTTCAGCCGGTTTTGGAACTCCTGCCCTGGAGCGATCCGCCCCCCTCGCCTTCCCAAAGTGTTAGGATTCCAGGCGTGACCCCCCGCCCCCGCCCCTTCAAATTGTTTGGCCCCAAAAATCTTTTTTTTTAAAGACCCGGGGGGGGGGGGGGGGGGGGATTTAGTGAAACCTTAAAATCTGTACCCCCATAATATGCCGAAAAAAAAAAAAACAAAGAACACGTATTAACTTTAACACACAGAGAGGCAGAGAGGGACACACACCTTGTTGGCAGGGGCACCACAGAAGACATAAGCCTGCAAATTCTAGTACAGTGACAGCAGCGTGGAGAGGGAAGGGGACCACGACCATAACACATTTCTGGGAAACACTGCTTTCAGAGTTCTCACAGAAGCATCAACTGAATGGCTGCTTACACATTTTAAAATGGGATTCCACTTTCAGCGCTATTGCAAGTTAAGCAGCAGCCATGCTCTGAAGTAACACCTGTAGATAGCCCCAGTCCTTTTTCCAAGTTTTTCCCAAAACATACCATCTTTTATCATAGTACAGTTTGCCATCTTCTATCCGAGCTTCGAACCTCTGGGCTGGAGACTCTGCAGGCGCGGCAGGCAAGTGTTCAGGAGAGGATGGGGATGCTAGAGGAACCAGAGATACTTAAATGACTAAGCATGTGTGAGTCCCCCAGTTAACATGCTTTAATTAAAACACTATCAGAATGTGGCAATAAGCATGCCCAAGCCCTTACAGTGATAATGCATGAGAAGTCAACAAAATCCTTGTATGTTATATCTAAATTGATCCTCAGTGCAACCTGTGAGGCTCAGGAAGGTGAAGGTCAAATGTACAAATTCACAGGTCACTTAAAGGAGGTAAATCTTCAAAAAAAGGGCAAATATTATAAAAATCTTTTAGAAACGAAATCATTTCTAGAACTCCAGTGTGCTCAAATGATCTAAATTCAGGCACTTACTCACATAACCCCCTACTCCCATCATGCCTCAGAAGCTCAGGACATCACTGTGGACCACAGTGGCCCCTAGGGAAGATATTATCTAGAGAAAGAAAAATCTGCTTTTCTTCCACAAGACTCAGTTAGTAGAGGGATGTGTGAGTAATCACAGTGCTTACAACAAAAAAACAAAAAAGATATTAGCAGTTTAGAATTCTAGTTTGCAACCTAGCCATTGACTCTCAAGTGCTGTCTGGAGGGAACAATGTGAACACCGAGGCAGCCTCTTCTAAAAACTATGACTCCGAGCAGCCTGCAAATGCCTTCCCAGAGCCAGGCCATGAAAAGCTACTAGAGCAGTACTGCCCCTAGGACTTAACTCCAAAAATCGAGTAATACTAAAAAAGCTTTCTGGTTTCATTTTCAAAAACAGATGTGTGCTTAAAACCTTATGCCTTATGATGCCTACACAGAAGGGAACTTTTACCAGCAAATCAAATGTCTCATTCACAATCTATCCTAAGAAAAGGACAAAAATAACATAGCAGGGTTTAAAAAAAAAAAAAAAAAATCAAGGCTGGGTGCACTTAAGGTCCCCTTTAGTTTTCATGATGACTACCCATAGGCAAATGATGAACACTGTTGTTTTTTGGGGGTTTTTTTTGAGACAAAGTATCTCTCTGTTACCCGGGATAGAATGTCGTGGTGTCAGCCTAGCTCACAGCAACCTCTAACTTCTGGGCTCAAGCAATCCTTCTGCCTCAGCCTCCCAAGTAGCTGGGAGTACAGGCAGGCACCACCACGCCTGGCTAATTTTTTCTATATATTTTTAGTTAGCCAATTAGTTTCTTTCTATTTTTAGTAAAGATGGGGTCTCACTCTTGCTCAGGCTGGTTTCAAACACTCCTGGACCTTGAGCAACCCTCGGAGGCAGGAGGGTTGCTCAAGGTCAGGAGTTCTGTGCCCCAGCCGATGATGAACATTTTTGAAAACTGCAACAATTCCCTGACAGCTATTCGCATGCTTTTCCAACAACATGATGAAAAGACCTCACAAATGCCAATACATCATGCACTTACCTGGTCTCTTGGGTGACTTAAGCTGTAGAAAGAACAACAAAAAAATCTTAGAGAAAATCATTTCAGATGCAACTTCAGGTGTCAAAAGTATCATCATTTAACAAGTAACATGAACAAAGTGAATCAGAAAACCATGTCAAGCCTGAGCTTTCAAATTAAAAAACAAAAAAAATCAAACTGTACCTTATTTAATGTTCTCAGATCCTCCATGATCTGTTCATCTGTTAACAAATAGTTTAGCTGGGGTGTTGAGAGTTAAAGGAATGTGTCTGAAAAGTACGGTTTCTAAGCAAAGAGTAATCAACAAAATGGAACCAGTATTTTAGAATTTACTAAGTGTGACTATGTTAAATGATGTTTTTACAATAATGGTGTTTAGGTTAGGTATATAAAAGAATTCACATCACCTTACAAATTGCTAGGATGAGATTCATTAGGTACATACGACAACAGGGAGAGCACAGAAAACAGTAAAATAAGAATTTCATCATGAATTTATATAGTGCTTTTGTTCCAGAGATCTGAAGACTTACACACACACACACACAGCAAGCTTTATCTTCCCCAGTAACTTAAATACTCAGTTGTGGTGGTGAAAGGACCTGAAGTTATGCCCTTTCCTGGTAGCAGACAAATGACAACCATTTTGGGCAAACAGCTACTTATTATCTTCTCCAGAGGAATAGAAACACTTCTCCATGTATCCGGCCCCGTTAACATTTTTATGATTAAAGGGCTTCTTTATGTCTGACTGAAATCTCATTTGCTTTAATTTAAAGGCAGTTTGCAATCGACTATTTTAGGGACACAGATAACTGAGGCACATAAAAGCAGATATTACTCTCCTCATCTTACAGTTGGAAGGTAGAGAATTACAGGTGGAAAAATTAAGGCATACCAAGTTTTCAGATGCTCCTGAATCTTGAAGTTAGTCTTCAAACCAGGTTGAACTTCCAACACAAAGTACCCTTCCAGATAATTCTTCTCTATTTATCTCTCCCACTAAAAGCAGTAGCAATTGAGGACAAACTCCAATAATAAAATGACCATCGCCAACCACCACCTGCAAATACTTTACATATGCTTTCCAATCAATTATTACTATCTTCCATGAGACAATGGTCATATACAGTCTATCAAATGGATAAGCAAAGGATTCAAAACTCTTAAGGAAAAAAGTGATTAAAGCTTGATGCAAATGGATATCAGGAGCAGGTTTCCTCCTCTTGTCTGGGATGGGGACAGGATCATTTGGCCGCCTCCGCAACTTTCTGGTCATGATAGGCTTCACTTCCATAGAATCTGTGGCAAGAATGGAATGGGTAAATCTATGCAACTCCCCCTCAAAGTCAGTAAGAATTTCTACAATGCATCAATATCTGCCCCATAGATACCCAATCAGAACTGGCTTATTGGGGATGTTTGGTCTATACACAGCCCAAGCCAGATGCCCCGATTATACTTTAGAAAGTGCCCATGCTTATAAGATTCAGAACCCGGGGTACACAGCCCTCTCAGAAACGCAGCCCTACAGCCAACATGATAACTACTGTAGGCATCTCTCAAGCACTCTCAAAAACTACAGATATTCTTCCTCTCCTTCAGATTAAGAAGCTCCAGAGCTGTAGGCTCTTAGGATTGTAAGGAAACTTGGGGTCATCTCAGTCAACTAATTCCTGCTGTTCCAACAGAGTGTGTTCTGAAGTCCGCTAGTATAAAAGACTCTCTTAGAGACCACTGGCCTCGGTGCGGACATTTTCATATTAAGTCTCTATTCATAGACTCAGACCCTTTTTTTCTTTTGTAACCTTTTGTAGCTACTTGACTACCAAAAATGATACCATGAAGGCTCATAATAAAAGCCTCTTCCTTTCTTTTCTCTTCTCTTTAGTCTGACACTGCTGTGGGCTCTCCATGCCTTAGAATCGCGCCTCCCCCAGCCACAGTGGTCAAGGAGGTTGACTGGCTTCCTCGGGGACCTTTTTTGCTTGCCTGCTCCCTGGATCCTGGTGATCTCTGGTGTCCTGTCACTCCTCAGGCTGCAACCCAAGCAATTTCTGGTCAACCCTCTGAATGGCACTCGGTACCCAACACCACACACTCTCCATGCTCCAAGCAAACTCATTTCTTCTCCTTGTTTCCCCTCCCAAGGCTGCCTCCTTCCTCTGCATCTCAGGAGCATCAAATCTATTCGTCCTTCCATGCTAGGAAAGTATCTGTCATCTGTGACTTGTCTGTCTTCCTTCACCCAGGCATCAAGTTTATCAGAAACATCAGCTCTGCCTCAAGCCCACCCTTTCTGTTTTCACTGAGCAAACTCCATGACAGTCAGAGTCTCTCCCACATCTCATCCAACCTTCCTGCCCACCAAGTGATAGTCCTAAGACACAAATCAGATTATTTTACACATCATTCTTCTTACTAAATATGTCAATGGCTTGCCACTCTCTACAGAATAAAAGACAAACCTCACTTCTGGTCTTCCTCCCTTGATTCTGTGTGCAGGCTTTTAGCTATTCTGTTACTCAGAAATAAAGGCACTACACTTTCAGACTTTGCACAGCCTGTTCTCTGCCTGGCAAACTTCTCTACATGATATCCTTTGAGATGCAATTCAATACTCTCCCTTCTGTGACAGCCTCCAATGGCAGAGACTCCTTCCATTTTCCAAGTAACCAGAGCAAGTGCCACTCTGTTTATTATTATCCTATTTGAATCCCACTCACACTAGGGCTTCACAAAGTTTTTTGCAGAACTAGATGGGGTCAAGCCTAGTCATGAGATAAAGTCGGTTTGTTTGTGATTACGTACACCATCAGTAGAGCAGGCGGGGCAGCGTTACGGAATTCTACCACAGCAGGGTGCAGGATCTTAGAGTATGTGATAAACGTGCTGTAAAAAGTCAAAAAAATGTTTCTGCGTGTTGTTCTTAAGAAAAGACATGGGTAATATTGAAAATGTTTTCCCTATGAATGGAAAGGAGGTAAAGTAAAAAACAGATGTACAGAATATTCATAAATGTGTACTTGGAAGTGAAAAAAGAAAAGAGGACACACACACACATTCCTCCCTGGGAAAAGGGGGAAGCCTTCGAAAAGAAATCTCTTACACTATGTGGGGTAACACCTTTCTCCAGTTATGTATTGGCCAGTAGTGCAGCACCGTGGTTAACAGCCAGGGTGTCACACATACGTGGCCCTGAATCCCAGCAGTAGCTGTGTGACCAAAGGCCACATAAATGCTCTATGTCTCAAGTTCTCTCATCTAGAGAATAGAACTATTAGTAACACCTCCCTCACAGTGTGTTCTGTTACATGAGATGATACACGTGAAGCTTACTCAGCACAGTGCCTGGCATAAAAAAGAGTTCAATCACTGTAAGTTTTTATTATTATATTTGCAGGCAGGAAAAAACTATACAAAGATCTTTTTTAAAAGTCAAGCCACGAACAGCTGAAAAGAAGTTACAGACTTGAAGGTAACTGATGTCAATGGTGAGGCTTTGCAACATTCAGATCTAACTTGGAAAACAAAATGTAAAGGGAGTTCATCCCATCCAAGAGAACAGCAAAGAAAAAGCATATAGCCCACGAACACATTATGGAATGTTCTGCCACAAAAGAGAGCAGCTAAGCGCACCCTGCTCTGCAGGCCACCAAGGATGGGGAGTGGGGCGTGCGGGCAATTGCATGATGGAAGTAAGCCAAGTACAGGCACAGCTCAGAGGATTTGCGAATAATATCAAGTCTGATCACAGCCATTAAACTCAGAAAATCATCACTGTATCACTTACAAATCAGAAAATATAATCAAATTCTTCTTAAAAAATGGTGAAAAGCAATCCATTTTATTAGCCTGGTCACGGCAATAACCTGATGAATTGTATCCAAAGACTATTTCTGCAGAAGGAAGGTCCTCTGGAGAAGATCCTAAAATATACCAGCATGTCTCCACCACCACCTGGAGGAGAGAAGACAGCAGGGACAGTCCTGGCCAGTGGCCCAGGTGGAAGATGTGATCTGAGGAGGCGATTGACGCGTAAGTACCACAGTCCCATAGACATAATAAGAGTATCCACTTAAGTCACCTTGCTCCAATGCCAGGGTTGCCTAGTTGGCCTCTAGGGTGCATTTTTCACAGGATGGGTGAGCCTGACCATCTGGGTCTGATTCTGGAAAGTTCTATTTCCCACTGTAAGCAACAAGTTGGCTCTCTGAATTTATAACATCAGTCCCCTGTGAGTTTGGCCAGTAATTGTCCCAACCAGCTCAATCTGGGTATACTGACACATACCGCCCCCCCCCCTCAAAAATAAAATCAAACTTCCAGAACTGAAGTTCAGACCCAAGTGTAGAGTATGACAACCCTGGAGAAGACACCTGAGCAGGAATTCAGTCAGTCTTTCTCTTAGACATCATGCACCAACCACAGAACACCTCTAAGTGACTTGTATTATAAAGCCTCTCTGATCCAGAGCACTCTCCATAGGTCTGCTCCAGTGGGGATACTATTTGTGGAATCTCATCAAATATCAAACAATTAAACCAGATTTGGGAGAGAAAACACTGAACAAGCAATGAGGCCAGGTAAACAATGCCTCTCCAAACCACCTCGTAGTATGACCTTTAACAGTGTAAATCCTATTGCTCCACTCACCAGGAAACCTGAAAGATACAGGTACCCTCAACTCCCACCCCACCCCCAGGTAGCACTGGGTCTGCCATCTAAGAAATGGGAGCACAGGCTGAATCAGTGCTAGATAGAGGCATTATAGCTCACTTCCTATAGAGAGAGATTCCTGATAAATTAATTACTGCAATTAAGTACAATTACCAGTTTACTGGTTGGCCTTTTCTTCTGTTCTTCCCTTGGTCTATTCATTCATTTCCAACAGCTCACCTGCCTATAGTGTACAAGTGTAGTAAAAGCTTCATTTTAACATACTTTAACCATTAAAACAAGCTCATACTTGTTTAGTTATTGAAAAAACATTACTGGAATGTTGCATAATTGCAATGTTGCATAATTGCAATGACTGAAAGGAACATCCTTAAAAAACAGGATATAAATGAAAAAGAAAAGCCACTGTAGAGTAGGCACCATAGCAGAATGGCAACGACCTCCAAACCAGGGGGAGGGCAACACATGGCTAGAGGAGAGGCCCAGAGCAATCCCCAGGACACGCCACATCCCTTCCTAGTTGGATGGCAGGTACATCAGTGTTGTCACACATCAGTGCTGCAGTGGCAACCATAAATGAATGCCTAGGAGTTGGGGGGCTGAGACAAAAATCAAGGTCAGGTCTTTGGAGGCCAAATCGGGATAGGAATAAAGTTGCTCGTAACGAATGGATGGCATATAAAGAGTAAGTCAATCAAGCCTTCTTCTCTGCACCCTCAACCATGATAAATGGCCTGGATTCCACTGTGTTAGCATCAGAAAAGAACATCTTGAAGATAAGCTCACTCTACTCAAAAATCCAGGTCCACCTCTCTTCCATTCTCTCCCCTTCCCCACATATTTGTGTGGGACCCCCTTCTCCTTGTCTTGACTTCCAGCCTTCCCTACTCATTAACATCTGTTAAGTACTATGTGACACTCACTGTTCCTACAGTAGTACAATGACATACACCTTAATGTTAAAAAACAAAACAAAACAAAACAAAACAAAAACAGTAAAAACAAGCCTGTCAAATCTTTACCTTCATTTAGGCCCTTTTTCTCATACTGCATTATGTTGGGGAAGACAGGGAAGCTGTGTCTGCTCTGCAATTGTCAGAGTATCATCTCCTTGGGGACACAAAACTTACCCATTAGCCTAATTTTGTGAGTCACTTAGAATCACATGTATCCATGGTACCTACAAAGAACCAGTATAGTGTGGTGGTTTTAAGAGAACACACTTGGAGTCAGACAAACTCTGGCTTAACCACTATGTATCTATTTGGGGGACTTTGAGCAAATGGTTCCATTTCTCTGAGTCTGCAAATAGTATCCACAAATGAAGCAAACCTACGAAGAGTCCTGTGAAATCAGAATGACACCTCAGTCAAAGGGAGCTGAGCAGCTAAATGAGGCTACAACTTCCCAATCCATGAGTGGTTCCTCCACGCACCAGCCACTTTTTGAAACACCTCATAGGCATCAGCTCCTCTCACTTCCACCCCCCACCCCCATAGGTTCTATCACCTCCTTGCCAAATGAGAAAACCCTACCTTAGAATTAAGTCCACAACAGCGCCAGCTTCACCCCAGCTCTGTCAGCCTACAGAGGGAGCTCTGATGCTTTTATACAATGCCTAGCCCAATGCAAGTGCTCAGGAAACAGACTTGTATCTTGACACTATAATGACTCATGGTCCAGCTAGGAATCCAATATCTTCTAAAGGAAACTCATAGGCTTTCCTGAGGTCGTGAGTAGCTTCCACAGGGGCCTGAGGGCTGGAAGATGCCCCTGGTGAGCAAGAACTAACGAAAAACATGAAGTGGCACTTAGTGGGCTGTTGGAAGGAGGAAAGGCGGCTGCTCTAAAGACAACAAGAAAAATGCATTAAAAAATAACAAGGCTCCCCACATTTTAAAGCTCATTAAGTTCTCAATGATTATTTGGGTTACTTACAATCTTGGCCTCAACTCAGACAAAACTCACACTCATTCTCTCTATAACCTCACTACTCGAATTGCGGTCCTACCAGCAGCCCTGGGAGGTGGTTAAAATGCAGGGTCTTGACCTCTACCCCAAATCCCCTGAAATGCAGAGTCTGCATTTTATCGAGATCCCCAGGTGACCCATATACACACAACAGTTGGAGAAGCACTGACCTATAACTCATTCTAGCTCCTTTATCTAGAGTACACCTTTCCACCTGTACAGCTCAGTTTCTGTACGTTCCCCAGAAGAGCTCTGGGGGGTGAGGAGTACATCCTGCCAATTCCTACGGCGGGTTGTAAATGCTTTAAGCCATGGTCGGACAGGCAGGTTACCAAATGCACCTATTTCCAACGGGTTATCTGGACTACGTTTCTTATCAGCCTCTTGTTCTACTTTGTTTATCCAGATTATCTTCATGTTGAACCAGATAAGGAGACTTTAAAAAATATCTTTTTGGGGCAGAGCTGGGCAACATTAATATTGGGCATCAATCCACAAAGGTGAAATAAGTCACTCAATTAGAGGAATGAAATCAGGCCTTTAATCCAACACCATAGCAGAACCATCTGTGGAAAGGCTAATTACCCTTCTAGCTCCAGTGCCTTTTCTTCCAACACTCTATCATTACCTTGGCAGTGCTTTCCATACCAAGGGTACCAAATGGCTTGAAGAAGGACATCGGTACCTTTAATGCCCATGGCTAGCTTTAAGTACTTCTATAATCTATTTCTACTGCGTTACAGATGATTTCTCCACATTTATTTGTCTTTTCTACCCTGGCAGGCTCAGCCTCAAGTCACCGAAGATGCCTCCTGTCCCCATTAAGATTCTGGCTGTAAAACTGCCTGGCCAAACAATGTCTATCGGTTGTTAATAATTAGGATGCCAAATCTCAAGTAGGATGATGATACCCCTCCCTGCAGATGCAAAGGGAGCAGCTATAAACAGACACTATTTCCCACTAGCCTAATGAAGGCTCCCAAACATCTGGTGGCTCTAGCAGAGAGCAATGAGGCATCAATGCCAGGCTCCACCATCATCAAAGAAAACGGTGTGCAGGTCAAAAAGGCAGGCAGGCACCAGACAAGGCCCCACAGTGCTACCTGTCTCAAAGCACTGCAACAAGAATGAGATGGTGCTGTCTGAAGCTGATGTTTTAGCATCCAATCAAACAAAAAAACATTACTGAGCCGCTTTCAGAGGCCTTCAAGGAACTCAGTCCTTTTGCCAAGTCTTTCAATGAGGAAGCTATCAGAGGAGGGATTTTTCAAGAGTCAGATTCCACTTCAGGCACAATCACGTTCTCTTCAGTGTACCATGGGGACTGGAGCCAGAGTCTGTGTCAGAGAGCCAGGGTGGTTCACATATAGGGGGAAACACAGATCTTAACTAGATACATTTAATTTCAAAGTGAGCCCCAAGAACTTCCATAGAAACACTGCATTTCCTATGAAACCCAGCTAAAATAAGACATGTCAGAGCCCCAGTACCCTCTGAACATAGTTATGACTTAAATTTTGGGGTATACAGAGAGGCAGGCCATCTCCATATTCAAGTGACAAACTCACTGCTGACTTGCCCTGCAGTATTTCCCAAGTTCCAAAATATCGATTTCAAGCCAGTTCCCTGTATCCTCCTAGGATCCATCAGTCTGCAGATGGCAACAGAGGAGTCAGCCCATATTGCTTCTCCCTTCAACTTGCATGCAACCTGCTGAGTTTCCATATGTGGATTTACTAACCCCTAGAAGGCGAGGAAGGGACTGGCTCTGAGTCTGATGCAACTTTACTACCTTTATAGGAAAACAGTTAAGTTTAGCTACACTGTTGGAATCATATCAAGTCTTTCTGAAATGTTCACAGTAACACCTGGCAGAAGAGATCTAATAGCACAGATGACACAGCCGAAAGCCTTTGTTCTCACATCTAGGTCAAAGGAAGACAATACCTTTTCTGTAATTAAGGCAGACTGGAAAAGCAGCAAATTCCCATCACCAGAGATGAATTTGGGTAAATATTCAGGAACATAACAAAGATGCAAACGGCATATGACCCAAGAATTAAATACAGCATGAGCCAGAGCTTGCAATTACTAGATTGCAGAGATTTACCATTTATCTTTATTTTTTTTGAGACAGAGTCTTTCTCTGTTGCCCAGGCTAAAGTGCTGTGGCGTCAGCCTAGCTCACAGCAACCTCAAACTCCTGGGCTCAAGCAATCCTTCTGCCTCAGCCTCCCAAGTAGGTGGGACTACACGCAGGCGCCACCATGCCCGGCTAATTTTTTCTATATATTTTTAGTTGGCCAATTAATTTCTTTTCTATTTTTAGTAGAGACGGGGTCTCACTCTTGCTCAGGCTAGTTTCAAAATCCTGACCTTGAGCGATCCCCCTGCCTTGGCCTCCCAGAGTGCTAGGATTACAGGTGTGAGCCACTGCACATGGCCAAAGATTTACCATTTTTGAACACCTGTTATGCACAGGACACTGTACTAGGCACTCATGTCTAACCACAATCCTGTGAGATAGGGTATGATCAGCCCCATTTTTTTTTTTTTTTGAGACAGAGTCTCACTCTGTTGCCCGGGCTAGAGTGCTGTGGTGTCAGCCTAGCTCACAGCAACCTCAAACTCCGGGGCTCAAGCGATCCTCCTGCCTGAGCCTCCCAAGTAGCTGGGACTACAGGCATGTGCCACCATGCCCAGCTAATTTTTTCTATATATATTTTTACTTGGCCAATTAATTTCTTTTTATTTTTAGTAGAGACGGGGTCTCGCTCTTGCTCAGGCTGGTTTCGAGCTCCTGACCTTAAGCGAGCCTCCCACCTCTGCCTCCCAGAGTGCTAGGATTACAGACTTGAGCTACCTCGCCCGACCTAATCAGCCCCATTTTAAAGTGAAGGAAACAGACTCAGAGAAGTTAAGCAGCTTGACTAAGGTCACACAGCCAATATATGGTATAGCTGGAACTCTGATCTGTGAGGTCAAACCCAATTTTCCTTCACCTTGCTCTGCTCTTGAGATATAAGATGGAAGCAGTCAGGGCTCCCAGGACCCCACCCGGTGGGGCTTTCATACCTCCAGTCAGTTCCATCGTTAGTTTTTCATTTTCAATCATTTTCTTCTTTTCTTCTAGCTCAGCAATCAGGTTCTCTTTCAGCTCAACTTTCTTGTCTTCAAATTCTTTCACTGCTGCTTTCTTTTCTTTGATGTAATTTCTTTCCACTTGTTCCGTCTAAGCGAAAGAGAAACAGAGGCTAGGAGTACATGGCCTGGGAGCCAGGGCTCCAACCAGAAAGAAGCCTGGCTCTGTCCTCAACGGCCAAGAAAATACCTTTATTGTAAACATGAGAAAGATAGGCTCATTCACACACACATTTGCAGTAACAGGGTGTCTGGGAGCAAGTTTTTCAGTGAAAACCACAAAAATCGAACCACATGACATTTGCTTATTTTTTGAGTATACCTCACTTGCTATTCAGGTATTTTCTCTTTTCCACATCTTACATTTTACAGCTTTTATATTAAACAAAAATAAATTTCTCAAAGATAGTGAATCATTCCTTTTAAAGATACAACTTCAAAGGGAAACAGATTCCAGATGAAATATCTATATTCAAAATTATAAGATACTGAGGCCAGAAGGCATGAGTTACTATTATTTTTTGATACTTACAGCAAGAAAAATAACTACTATAGATCATTTATTAAATGCCTGAACCCTGAAGTACTCAAACATCAATAGCATACTAAATGAAAACTGCACATGCACCCATGTTTAAAATCTCACCATTGTATAAGTGACAAACAAGGGGGCCCATGGAGGGCTGTGGGAGCGGACCTTGTGACACTTGGCTATGACTGATGATGTGCGCTGAACTGAACTAAAATGGGTTCCGACAATGCGGCTTTGAAAAACCATGACCTTTGCAAAATGTGCCCCCCTGCCAAACATACACACAATAGCCACCCTGGGAGCAATACATCATCAAGACTCAGGCCCTCATCTCTACACTGTAGCACCGATCCTGACATAGAAGCAGCACACGGGTGTCCAGGAATGAAAGGAAAAATTTAAAAATCTTTCTTACTAGCCCAGAGAGTCTCAGCTGTAAAACAGAACTGTTAAGCCAATTCAGGATTAGGCTGTTTCAAGTACCAATATCAAATTATTAGGCCATTATAATTCAGACATATTTCCGAACAGCTTTAACATAAAATAAAAATCAACAAGAAAGCAGTGAGGGGTGAGTATTCCTTAATCCTCCGTGATAAGCACAGCCTGCCCAATCAGAAAATGAATAGACAAAATGTCTGAATGCAGATAAATGTCCGTTAGTCTAACAGAACAGTGATGAAGGCTTCCAAACTATCTATTTGGTGACAGACGGAAAGGTTGCCAGATAGAGAAAGCAAGATTCCAGTCTCAGAAAGAGCCTACAAACCCCAAAGATCCATGGTACTTACTTCCAGCTGGAGGAAGAGTTCTGAAAGAGATAAAAAGTGCAATTAGATTCGCTAGGCTATGTCACCTTTCTAGATAGTGATGTTAACATTCATTTACAAGCAGTAATTGCTTTCTGAAAGCACAATACACAAAGCAAATGTTTTCACCAGCAAAATGTTGATATATATGAAAGGAAAGGATGCAAGAAGTTATGCGTCTAGTTAAAACTTGACCCTGAACAGATTCACTCTGGCAGTTCTGCCTAAGGTCAAAACACGAGCAGCAGCAACCAAACTACCCTGGCAAAATAAAAGTTATCCCTCAGTCCATGCCCTCGAACAGGCCTGAAAACAGCAGGGTGGGTCAAGAAGAAACAATGCAATTTCTCCAAAAGCAGAGTTGGTGTTGATGTTTTTAAAGCACTGTATGAAGGGCTATGTGCAGTAAGGACACTCCCAGAGAATCCAGAAAACAGAAGTTCTGAATCCTCCTAGGGTTTCACTATCAGGCCACCAATCTCTGCTCACAGTGGTGGCCCTCTGGTCTCTCTGATCACATTTCCAAATTTCTGATCAAATGCAGCCCCTTCCCTGAGGCATTTCCTGACAACTCCTCACTCATAAAGCTCTTCTCAGACACCTTAAAGTATCTACCCAACAGTTTTCAACAGCTTACTTAGTACCTACTGTGTTACCAGGTGATTAGTAACTGTTTACCCAGCAGCTCCCCCTACTGCTAGATTGGTACTACACTACAATCCCCTCTGCAAACCTTGTACTGGGAACAAAATAGGTCTGTGGCTGTTGATCTTTTTTCTAGGTGACAGTGGGTCTGTTACCTTCTGTCCACAAAGACTGTTGGTAGACCAATAACTTCAGGGGGTGCTATTTGCCCTCTATTATACCAGGGACCCCTTTGCAAACCTGGTAAATTCTGTGAACCCACTGCCCAGAAAAAAAGCACACATGCACATTCATGCACACTCCATAGAATTTTGACAGTTCCAGGAACCCCAAATGCCAATTAACAGCTGTTGAGTGGGCAAATTAATTGAGGAAAAAGCACACTCATTTTCTAATCCCCAGAAGCCCTACCCACTTTGACACTGGGACTCACTGGGCACAGGAGCCCAGGCACACCGAGCCCAACATGCCTCTCTCTTATGACTGCTTCAGACATATGCCACGCAGGAACAGGCCAGAGAGCGGAAGTCCTGTGGCATTCCGAGAAATCACACACTGGACCAACAACTCAAAATGACAATTAGCACTTAGAGGTGGTGCTTGTTATTTTAGTTAAAGCAGCCATACACCAGACACTACTGAAGCAGGTGGATTATCTCTGCTCAGAATGTGCTTTTTAAAGTTGAAGCAGTGACTGATTTAGGAGCTCTTCTGCATTTTTACCTGGAGGAAAGAAATGTTTATGAAAGAACACATGAGGACAGGATTGAGAGTCCGCGAGCATAATAAAAATAACTCAATACTCACCTGCTGTTCTAACTTAAGAAAAATGGCTCCTGTCAATTTTTTTCCTTATTTACATCTTATACTGAGTTCATGAGGTATTAGTGTTCCCCTTTACAAGTGGGGAAACTGAGGCTTCAAGAGCAAATAACCCTGCTTAAAGGTACAGATATAAAATAATGGAGAGGGGATCTGAACCTAAGACCCTCTCCTTCCACAATGCCACCTCCTTTACCTGCTAAACGGGAAGCCTAGGAAGAGGGCTGAGTATTTAAAGATGTCCCGAGCAGATGCTACAGAAACTCAGAGTAGAATGGGGATAACAGGAGGGGACAGAAGGAGGTGGATGGGCAGCGGGTTAATGGCTGTGTCTCCATTTTCCCAGTGTCCCCAAACCCTTCAGGTCCTTTTCTATCTGTTAGTGTATACTGGACATCTTCTCACTGGGGGGAGTGAAGGATTCCAGGATTCCATCGATACAAGGTTGCAAAATTGCTGGATCAGAACACAAGAGGACGACAGCACAAGGAGAGGCACCCAGCCACCATTTTAAAATCCAACATCCACCGTCGCAGGGCAAGCACCCTGCTGGCACTCAGGACACTGGATGATGGCGAGCTTTAAAATTTAACACACAGGTTGGGCGTGGCGGCTCACGCCTGTAATCCTAGCACTCTGGGAGGCCGAGGCGGGCGGATTGCTTGAGGTCAGGAGTTTGAAACCAGCCTGAGCAAGAGCGACACCCCGTCTCTACTATAAATAGAAAGAAATCAACTGGCCAACTAATATATATATAGAAAAAAATTAGCCGGGCATGATGGCGCATGCCTGTAGTCCCAGCTACTCGGGAGGCTGAGCCAGTAAAATTGCTTAACAAGCCCAGGAGTCTGAGGTTGCTGTGAGCTAGGCTGACGCCACGGCACTTACTCTAGCCTGGGCAACAAAGTGAGACTGTCTCAAAAAAATAAAAAATAAATAAAATTCAACACACACAGAAGATTTCCTGTAAGCTCAGGAATCCATGCTTATACACTCTAAACAGGTATCACATTTCACTTTCTGTATGATTCTTTTACTCATATTGTTCCTTAACTTGACACGTGTGGATTTCTTGTCAATGAAACAGTGAGTTTCCTAAAGTCAATGTTACACAACTTTATATTGCTTAGATATAGCAGATAGACACAAATTTTTGTTGAATGAATACATTTACTGTATATAGCAGATCAGAAGTGTGCTTATTCTCTAAATACTTATAATACAGTACTTTGGGGAAATAACAAGAGGACACCCCATCCCCAGCACAAAATACTGAAACAAACTTGAAACAGGACTAACACTACCTACACTCCCTTTTCCACATCAGCACTTCTGACTGCCCATTAGCCCAGTCACGCAGGCACGAGCAGGAAGGTGCAAGACTACCACTGGGGTACCAGGGAGAACAACCTAACCACAAGGAGTCACCACTGACACCCCTGATTACTGCACCATTCTTTGGCAACTGGAAAAGATGAAATAATTTTACATAACTGCAGCTTTGGTGTCTCTCTTCCCCTGAACTCTCTCCCCAGCGAAATATCTGAGATACGTTTTGGAGAACAGCTCTTAGGGCCACATTACATCAATAATCAGCAAATGGTGGAAGGTTCGAAAACGATTCATTTGCATTTAACAGAGCCATACCTGCATTTCGTATCCTCTCTTTGTACTGCTGATCTAGTTTTTTCATTCTCTTCTGATATTCCTGTAACGTACCTGATTGTGAACATTTAAAAAATAAAGTTATTTTGAAGATCTATTCTGTATTTTGTTTTCATTCTCTAGCACCAACAGTGACCACTTTAGTAACATGAAAGTAAAACACAAACCAAGGAAAGCCACACCTCAGCAGTTAACTGGACTCTGGTCTCAACCAAGGCGCACAGCAGAACCCCCTAGGAACTATTCTCAGTCCACCTCAACCTAGTACATCAAGACTCTCTAGGGACTGAGGGGAAGTGGAAAGGTACTCACACCAATTGATTCTGATCACTTGTTGCAATAGCCCGAGTCATGGGCCTCCCTTTCCTGGAATAAGTTCATTCTCCTTCAGTAAGGTCTAGGTCAACATTGTTCAGCAAAACTTTCTGCAACAGTGGAAATGTACTACATTTGCACTGCCCAGTATGGTAGCCACCAGCCACATGCGGCTATTTTAGCACTTGAAATTGCTAGTGCAATTGAGGAACTGAATTACTAATTTTATTTAATTAACTTTAAACAGCCACAAGTAGCTAGTGACAATGTTAGATAGCTCGGGTATAGATTCTAACCAAATCTCTACCCATTCCATTGCCCTTACCCCAGAGGAGCTAATTATGAGGGGGGTAATTTTTAGGGGGAAGTATTTCCTGATCATAATGCTTATCCATGGGCTCGTCCAATGCAGTAGACCACCCCGAAGCAATAAAAGAACCTAGCAGGAAAACAATTTCACTGATGAGGGAACTTCACAATATGAAACCAAAGAGCTAATGGCAGCAACTAATTGTCCCCAAGTTCTCATGGTGTGCCCAACACAGTGCTAGGCACTGTGCACTCGAGTGCATAATCTCATCTACTATTATTGTCTTTACTTCACAGATCATAAAATTGATTAAGCAAGAAAGTGGCTGGCCCAAGGTCGCATTATTAGAATGCAGTGAGACTAGGACTCAAACTCCTCAAAGAACTTGAGAGCCTGCGCTCTTACCCAGCCCATGCCACACTGCCTTTAGCAGCCAGCAGCACTCCATGAGATAAATCTACTTTTAACTTACCAACCAAAAAAAGAGAAAACACAGTGTAGATAATCCATAGTTCATTAACTCTTGGTTTAAAAAGGATAGTAAAACTTTATTCTTTGGTAACAATGTCCCTCCTAAAAATATCTAGCTTTAGGCACAGTGATTTTCAATTCATGCTCCACAGAAAGCCTTAAATGAGATTTCATTTGAAGAAAGCATTTGATACATATTGGAAATTAATTAAAAATAAAAGTTGAAGATCACCACTTTACTGACAGCAAAAGATAGCAAAATGTGTACTGGGTCACTAAAATCAGACAGATCAAATTTTAAGTCACTCCCACAAAGAAATGAAATATAGATTTCAAGGGTTTGTAATATTAATATATTTACAAATGAAAAGATTCAATCACACACCAACCTTCCTGTAGTTGTTGCAACTGCCTCTTGAGAGAAGCCAGTTTGTCCTGATACATCCTATGAAAAAAAAAAAAAAAAAGCCACACTGAAAGATAAAAACATTCAATACTCAATTCCAAAATTATCTACCCACAGGAATTACTGGGAATGGCATTAACATCCTTCAGGGGAGAAAGGAAACTAAAGTCAGTTAGCTGGTTTAAAATATACCAGTAGCTACAGGGACCAGAAAGAGACAATAACCCTGAATCATATCCGAATTTTGTTGACTCTCCTATTATCCCAACTTTCAATAACCAGTCTAAATCTGCAACTATGAAGACAGATTTTTAATAAATGACACTTGATAAACATGCAAGAACATACAAAGAAAAACTGAAAAGTATGATGTTACTGTCCTCTGGATTTTGAAGCATAAGTAACACATATGCCCACAAAATGGAGAAATGGCATTAAACACAACTCTTATAATAACTCTACAATTAGATTATAAAATTCCAAAAGAGTAAGATTATGCCCTCAGCATGTTTTTCTATACAGAAAGTGTGAGCACTAAGTCAATAAACCTTCATGTCATTTTTTTAAAGCACTGCTCTTTTAGGATCAGAGAAGTAACAGTAATTCAGAGACAAAAGTTAAAATGTAGCACTTATTTGCACCCCCAGCTGAGTGAGAACATACAGCACAAAGCAAAAGAACTTGGCACGTTATTTTTTTTTCTCACATCTAATGGATTATAGGAAATTATACACTCCAGCAAGTCTGTCTGATGGTAGATTCCACATGTAAATCCCATTTCAGCAATATTTTTGCTCCTACCTGAAAAATCTCCGATTTCAGTGACAAAAACAGGATTCTTAAGCTAAAAGAACCCTATCGCAGCCAGGCACGGTGGCTCACGCCTGTAATCCCAGCATTCTGGGAGGCCGAGGCAGGAGGATTGTTCGAGGTCAGGAGTTCGAAACCAGCCTGAGCAAGAGCGAGACCCTGTCTCTGCTATAAATAGAAAGAAATTAATTGGCCAACTAAAAATATATAGAAAAAATTAGCCAGGGATGGTGGCACACGCCTGTAGTCCCAGCTACTCGGGAGGCTGAGGCAGGAGGATCACTTGAGCCCAGGAGTTGGAGGTTGCTGTGAGCAAGGCTGACGCCACAGCACTCTAGCCTGGGCAACAGAGTGAGACTCTGTCTAAAAAAAAAAAAAAAAAAAGAACCCTATCGCACATACAACAGGCACAATAAATTTCTGGGATACATGTTGCCAAAGTGAGCACATAGGCACAGTAACATTTTGATTGCTCAAATAAGGCTGTAAATACAACCAAACTCTCCACAGGTGGAGGAAGGAGGAGGCAGAATCTGAGGATCATGCAGGTCTGCTGCTTTTAGGGCAGATTCTCATGTATCCTTGAGGCCCACCTTGAATCACACAAGGCCTTCAATTTTAATCAAAAATAATTTCTACATCATCAAATACTAAGAGGAAACAATCAATTAAAATGTCATCTCAAACTGCTTAAACATATTTACAGGAGAGGGAATGGATGAGTAAACCAATCTCACAAGTATCTGGAACCTAAGGCATTACATTTTTCACCACATTGAGGGTGCCAGCCAATGCCTTTGAAGTCTGAGTCTGTCTTTGAAAGGGAATACTGATAGACTGAAGAAGTAAACAGGAAAAAAAAAAGTCAGATCCATGGAAACCATGTATGAGAAGCACAGGTAAGTGAAAATACATCTCAAATGGGTCAAGGTGAATCAATTCAAGCTTTTTGCTCAAAAGAGAAGAAAAAGCAGAGTTTCAGGAACAAAACTGGTAGAGCATATGAATTATTAAAGGAATCCTCCTTTATTCAGCACTGTTCAGACTTGGCTGAATTACCCCTTTAGGTTCCAAAGCATGAAAAGGATGACACAGTCCAGAAAATGGCCATAAAAAAATTTACAGATAGGACCTAAAAGGAAAGGAATGTAGATTATGTAATTTAAAGGCAAGAAATTATAAAAGTCTAATCAAAATCCTCAAACTACATTCAACAAATGCATGCTGAATATATTTTATATGGTCTTCCATCTGTGCATATGCTAAAAGTGAGTGGGGTTTCTGTTTCTCTAGACATGTTTGGCTGTGGCTGTCTGAAGACAAGGACAAGTGTGAATGTGGACAGAGCACATGACCAAGAGCCAGCAGCCCTGCTTCCCAGTTCTGGTTTCCCTAAGCCCAAGGCCCCAGCACGTTGGTTAGCATGCAGCCAATGCTCAGTAAGCTCACACCCATCTGAGAACCCTGCTGCTTCTAGACATCATTTACCCTCTCTGTACACAGGTTTTCATATCTGTAAAAAAATGAAGTGGTAAAAGGTTCTCTCCTGTTATGTGGTCTTATTCTCTCTCCTCTCCTGTGATCATTTCCCTCAAGGTGGTTTCCGGCCCACGCTCAAAAAAGTCTTATTTAGCCGGGCATGGTGGCACACCCCTATAGTCCCAGCTACTCAGGAGGCTGAGGCGGGAGGCTCACTTGATTTCAGGAGTTCAAGGATACATTCTAGACTGGGTGGCAGAGTGACACCTCATCTCTAAAAAAATAAAAATTAAAATATAAAATAGGCCGGAGCAGTGGCTCATGCCTGTAATCAATCACTCTGGGAGTTTGAGGTGGGAGGAGTGCTTGAGGTCAGGAGTTCGAGACCAGCCCGAACAAGAGCAAGACCCCATCTCTACCCAAAACAGAAAAAATTAGCTATGTGTGGTGGTGCACTCACAGCTACTTGGGAGGCCTTAGCCCAGGAGTTTGAGGCTGCAGCAAGCTATGATCACACCACTGTACTCTACCCAGAGCGACAGACTAAGACTCTGTCTCAAAAAAAAGTTTTTTTAATTAAAAAATTAAAAATTAAGAGTCTTATGACAGGAAGACTATTAAATGGGACCAACTTAAAGTGGGAAAATTATACACACCTATGTGGTTTTTGGAAGCACTATGGTTAAAGACATACACAGAAGGTGTGTAGGTTGAGTAGCAGGTTGAATAGCCCTTGTCTAAAGTGCTTGGGACCAGAAATGTTTCAGATTTTTTTTTGGATTGTAGAATATTTATATTATACTTACCAGCTGAACATCCCAAATCCAAAAATCTGAAATGCTTCAATGAGCATTTCCTTTGAGCGGCATGCTGGTACTCAAAAAGTTTTGGATTTTGGAGCATTTCAGGTTTCAGATTTTTGGATTTGGGATGTTCACCCTATATAAAGATTTTGTTGTCATTTCAATATTCAAGAAATACAAAAATCATACTCACTGTTCCTTCATTTCTACATAGTCTTCTTCATCATGTTTTGCCAAGTCGGTTTCACTAGCATCCTCAGTATCTGAGTAAAAGTGGGAAGAAGGATTAGTGAAAATTATAACTCACAAAGTTGGTGTCACTTGAGACACCTTAAGCACTTAATGAACTCCTATAAAATGAATTTCAGGCCAGGCGCAGTGGCTCACGCCTCTAATCCTAGCTCTCTGGGAGGCCGAGGCAGGCGTGATTGTTTGAGTTCAGAAGTTCGAAACCAACCTGAGCAAAAGCGAGACCCCCGTCTCTACTATAAACAGAAATAAATTAATTGGCCAACTAATATATATAGAAAAAATGAGCCGGGCATGGTGGTGCACACCTGTAGTCCCAGCTATTTGGGAGGCTGAGCCCAGAAGGATCACTTGAGCCCAGGAGTTTGAGGTTGCTGTGAGCTAGGCTGACGCCATGGCACTCACTCTAGCCTGGGCAACAAAGTGAGACTCTGTCTCAAAAAAAAAAAAAAAAGAATTTCAGTGCAGGCCTGCATGAAGTCACTGGTAAAAATATATTAAATACAGCCAGCCCCTGTTATTTGAGGACACAAAATCTGCAAATAGAGAGAGCCAACTGTAAAGGACTTGAGAAACTTCAGGTTTTTGTATCCATAGGGGTCCTGGAACCAATCCCCCATGGTTACCAAAGGACAACTGTACTTTTGAAAAGAAAATCTCATTTCCAACTTATACACAGATTTATGCAAAAAGCTTGCTTTTATCTAAAGTGCAGCCACAGAATAGGGTGCGTCAGACATGGGTAGTCATGGTCAAGGCTGTTAGTTCTGTAGAAGCAAGAAGAATGGCAGCTCAGGAAAGGAAATGTGGGCATGAGACCAGATACTACAGGCAGTCAAGCCTTACTGCTCCAAAAAAAAAAAAAACCCCTAATATGTACATTCTCTCCTGGTACATGCCCAATGTGAACCCTTCACACATTTTTACAGCAGATACACAGTCGTCCCTCAGTATCCACTGGAGGAATGATTCCAGGACTTCCCTTAGATACCAAAATCCTGGGATGCTCAAGTCCCTGATATAAAATAGCATAGTAATTGCAAATAACCTACACTCTCCCATACAATTTAAATCATCTCTAGGTTACTTATAATAGAAGGTATGTACTATGTAAATAGTTGTTATACTGTATTTTCTAGATAATAATGACAAGAAAAAAAGTCTGCACAGGTTCAGTAAAGGTGCAATTTTTTTCCCCCTGAATATTTTCAATCTGTGATTGGTTGAATCCACAGATGTGGAACCCACAGACATGGAAGGCCAACTGCATACAGTAACAAAAAAGAATGCAACACAAAAAACTGAAATATTTTCAAAATTACAACTAAAGGGAACAAGAAGGTGGCAAGATTATAAACAAAAAAAAAAGAAACTCAACACATTCTAAACATTGTTCTTAGAACAAGCAAACGGTTGGAGTATCTACATAATTTCAACAGCCCCTATATATGAAGGGGGAGAAGAAAGCGATTTTGGTTTCACTGCTCCCCCTCGTGGGCAATAAAAGCAGTGCAAGTAATTCACATTCGAAATCTCCAGTTAAACCATGTCTTCAAATGTAATTCCTTCAACTTTATGTCCTGCATGTGCAGCTGCCTTTTGAAATACCCAGTTCTCCACAAACCATTCTCCCTTCTTTCACTCTAGAAGACTTCACTGAGTTCCTGTCATGTGCCAGCCAGCCACATTACTTGGCACTTGGGGAGACCGAGATGAATAAACATACTCTTCATTCCAAACAGCTGCTGTAGCTTTTGCTCACAGCCCTATTTTGTGCCACAATACTCCACCCACATTTGGGTCTCTCTTTATCTCCTCTTTATTCTCCCTGACCTTTCTTATCCCTTCACCTTTCTCCTCCAGCCAGTACCTTCCTCAATCCCTCCAAAACGGGACTCTACACTTGCCCAACTGTAAAGCCCAGTTTGAAAAGCAAGGTTCTAAGAGGCAGTAATGATAATATAAAGGGCACAGAACTGAAAACACAACACCTGGGCACCATTATCCAAATCCCTACCTCCCCTAGTACCTGGTTCCCCAGTGGTGAAAACATTTACTGTTTAGTTAAGTACCAAGCCGAGTAGTTTATATGCACATATGTCATTTAATCCTCACACCCACCCTAGGAAGTAGGCGCAACCAACAGTCCAATTACAGTTGGGTAAACCGAGGCTAAATAAAAAGCTCAAGTTGCATAAGGTTACAAAGCTGGGTTAAGTGACAGAACCGAATTTAAACCTAGACCTGGCTAACTCCAGGTCCCTTCCTTTTAACCAACCTGTCATTCTCAATCCTGTTCTACACCACCTAAAGTAGAGCTGACTTACACATTGGGGGAGGGGGGACGGGGAGGGCGACTTGGGGACGAGAAGCAAACTGGGTTTACTCCGACCCTTTGGGGAACAAAAAAGGGAGTACTACGCTTGGTGAAGTCAAATGGATGACTTTTCCATTCCAACCAGACAGTTGGGGGCGGGGGTAGAGTCTTAAAGGGACCTCCAGCTCCGACAACATCTAAGTCCCTTCTTCCCATAGCAGTTGGGTGCAAGGTACCCAGGGCTTCCCCCTCCCCCAGGGCAGGTTGAGGTAACTTCCCGGAGCCCCGCTCCTCCCAGCTGCCCACCTCCGCCAGCCCCGAGCCCGGAGGCCTCCCCGCCCCTCTCCCGAGCTGCCCCACCCCTCCCCCAGCGGTCCCACCCTCGCCAGGGGCTGCCCGGAGAGCTAGGGCACTCACCTTCGTCCGACTCTCGCCCCCGACAGCTGCGCTCATCGTCCTCGGCGCTCTCCAACTCTTCGTCCTCCTCGGGGTAATACTCTGGGGCCGGCGGCGCCCCAGCCGGGGCCGGAGCCGGAGCCAACAGCCCCGCCGCACTCATGTTGCCTCTGGCCGCAGCTGAGCGTGTCCCCCGCAGGCCGCGGCCACGCGCTCTGGCGCCGCGACGTCCCCGTAGCAGCGCCCGAGAGGGCCCCCAACTCGAGGAGCGGGAGCCACGGTAGCCGCGGGAGCCGCGGCAGGAGCGGGAGCCGCGGGGGCGACCCCTTCCCCGTCTCGGCTGAGCTCCGCCCCTCGCGCCCGCGCTCGGCAACGGGGGCCTCGCGCCGCATACGACTTCCGGGTCGCTAGCTGCCCGACAACAGCCTGACTCCGCCATCCTTGCGGGAGTGGGGAAACCGCCAGACGCCCCCTTCGCCACAACCGCAGCCCTGACATCGCGGTCTTAAAATCCTCACCGGTAGTGGGGAGGGGGCGGAGGCAGGCTCTCTTGAGTTAGGCAAATCCTTGGGCAGGCCTGGCTGCCGCCAGGACCCCGAGGCTCGGAGGAGACTTCCGGAAGCGGCCGCCAGGCGGCGCCTGGAGACAGAACGAATGCTAGGATCATTAGCGACCTGAAGGGCGGGGGGCTTGCAGGGCCCATGGCAGGTAAAGGTGATCTCTAATTTAAGCAGGTGAACCACATGAACCGTCCCTTTAATAGGTCAGGAAAGCTAGACATTCAAATTGTGCGTGATCATGCAGAAAAAAGGGAGCCTGGCTCCTCCCCTGACCACTTGGAGCTTTATTAAGAAATAAAAGACAGAGATGCTGATATTCCATCCTGGGGTTAGCAAAACAGTATTTTCCCAGTCCTTGGGAATTTTTTGTTAGTATATGTTTACTTGGTAAGATGTCCTCCCGATTTTACACATGAGAAGATGTCACTTGCGTAAAAAATATAGTGGCGTCCAGTTTAGACTCTGAGACCCAGGCCCTGCACAGTACAGCTGCCTCATATTTCCTTGAATATTAATTTTTTAAAAGTTATTCTTGCCTAATCCAATAGCTTGCTAACCAACTCTCGGTTGAGCAAGTGGAGCATTTGCCTACAGGAAGTAATTTGGCTACAGTAAGGAAGGCCCAGGTGGAAACTCACAAAACGAGAGCTGAGTATCTGCATGGATTAATTTGTGTGAATCCCTCTGAGTAGAAGAGGGACATATGTTACAAGTTTTGCTGAACAAACAAATTTAGGGTGTCCCTTTTGCTGAAAGCAGTGTGGTCTAGTTGCATGTAGCAAGAAAATAGATATGGAAAAGGGGCTAGAGGTGGTTAATGGTTTGTCCAAAGTAACCCCACTCTTTATCTTGCACCCAAGTCTCCATAGAAAAAGTAACCAGTAATAAAGCTGAACACAGATGTGAAAACCAGGGTGTATTCTAATCTAATTCTCAGACCTTAAATTTATCTCTGAATCAGACCCCATAGAGTCTCCTAAAAATGAAAAAGTTTATTCCCATCCCATTTATTTTGACATTTCCTACTACCTTGTTTTAATTAAAGCCGTGGCTCTATTTGTAAGGGATTTTTCTTCCCAACAAAACTCAAGAATTTCTAGAATGGAATTCTGCGATATCTTTCCAGGAGCTCAGAGATCTTCTGAAGCTCCTTCTAAATAGTAGTCATTCTCAGAGCTTACTGTAGGTCGGCCATCTATATTTAAACTAGGATTTCAGAACCATCTCTTGTCCAAAGGATGAAGTCATTTTCTTTTATTGTACTGTTAGATCACATCTAAATTATTTGTAATCAACTATATTGAGTAACTTGAGTTCCTATCACCACCGATAATCACAGAGCAAGAAAAGCACCAACATTTTAGAAATCAGAGTTCATTGATATAATGAATCCAAAAAAATTTTTTGATTTCATTGCTAAGTGGTTTCCTTTCAAGATGCTGGGGTTTTTATCATGCTTATGTTTTATTTCTATTTCTGTCTTTTTGATTGCAAACAGCATCTGTTAATGGTCACGCATTTCTTTTTTATATGTAACGAACAAACACAACTGAAGGCTTGGGTGGTGAAAATTTACCACATCTTTTTCTATCCCAACTGCCAGCTGCAGAAATGGTAGGATGAGCTCTGTGAAAAAATGCTCTTTAGTGAAAGGGAACCTACTCAAAAAAAATTCTCTCATGGCTTCAGTTTTACCCAAGCTTTACAGTTGTTTAACATGACTGTGGACAGTCTCTATTGGCCTGTAAAAATCAAGTTTCCTCAAAATCAAATTTTACTATCTTGAAACCTTTCTCTGCATCCCTTACCAAAATGGCACTTAGCCACACTGCTCAGGAGACACCTGCTTCACAAATCTACTTAAAATGAAGTCCTGCCAGTACATTTACACAACTTCTCGTGCCTCCAGGCCCTCTGCATACACTAACACCAAAACGTAAACTTTAAAGGGGAGCATTGAAATTGGAATGGGGTATGGCCTTTAAACACTAGGGGAAAATGTATACTTTTTAAAACACAAATTTTGTCAGTGGTAATTTAAAAAGAGTTAACAATGGAGGGTTTTCTGAGAACTAAGGCCTGTATACATGTGACAAGGCTTAGGATCAAAATGTGTTCCTGAAATGAAACAATTTCTTCATAAAATGCTAAATTGTCACAGTCCATAAGCTTACTTGGGGTTTAGGGGTGAGGAAAGCAGCTTTTAGTTCCCGGTGCTGATTTAATCAACACAATCAGTTTCACCAAAATACAACGAATGGGTCTGAGACGCATGATGCACTTTCACCCCTGGCAGGCACTATCTTTCAGCTTGGGTTAAATTGGGTCTTTGGTTATCACAGGGTACACATGGGTCAAAGCTCGTTATCCTTGGCCACTAGTTCACATAGAATCATTAAAACCTGTGGCCCTGAAAAATGTTACGTCGAATAGGCTTCCTGAAACCTTGCTAAAGCTGACAGGGTTTCCCTACCACAGTTCCTGTTCCTATTGTCATCAAAACCCGCAAACTAAGTACTTCCAAAGCTTTGTCCTTGTACCCATCAAAATGTGACCCGTCTAGAACGCTTAGTTGTGCCCAGTATGCAGCATTACAAAAATAAGATTTTTCCCCAACAGCATTAAGTTGACGTTTGTTGAACGCAATGGAAATAAAGGTATAAAATGGTTTAAATCCAGGAAATATCTGCAAATCCTAAGCAATGACAGGCCACGTTAATGTATGGCAGAGTTACTAAGAACGCTGTGCAAGGGTTGGTGAGAGAACGGGATCTTCCCCAAAGATTCTTAATACGCCGGCCTCTGGGAGTCTCTCAAGAAAAGTAAAGGCGTGGGGAGGAGTGCCATGAACTCTGACCCTAAAGCAGCACAAACACGAAGGACCGCACCCCAAGCGGGCCCGCGGGCAACTAAATTTGCGAAGTCTTCCGTGTCCGAAGAACTCCGCCCCGCCCTGCCCCGCCCTCTGTCACCTCCGCCAATCCTCGGGCTCCATCGACCACTCGGCTTCCCAGGCGCTTCCAATCAAATACCTATGTCCGGCCCCGGCCCTGTGCCCCACGATCAGGGAAGGTCAGTCGAGAACCTATCTGAGCCACGCTGGGGGCGTGGCCGGGGGCAGGGGGCGGGCGTACTGAGACGGTGGGGCGGAGCGCGCTCGGCGCAGTCGGGTGCGATTGGCCACCCCTGGCAGGAGACGCACCTCGGACAGCAGCAGCGGCGGCCGCGGGAGGGTCGGTGTGGCGCGGGGCGGCGGGGTCCTGCGTGCAGAGTGGGACGCGACGCGGAGACCGCGGGCGGAGGCTCCGCGCAGCCGGATCCGGCACTCAGCAAGCCGACCCGGGGATCCGCCGGGGGACAAGCCGCAGGAGAGGGACTCGGGAACAAGTGTGGGAGAGGAAGCGGTGGCGGCAGCGACGCCGGGCCCGGGAGTGGTGACAGCAGGTCTGAGGTGAGTGCACCGGGGCGCTGGGCGGTGACAGTGCGAGCCGAGACGAGGGGACCCCGGGCGGAGTGGGGTCAGGGAGGACCCGGGTGAGGGGAGTTCCGGGAGCAAGCTTGACAGTGCGGACTGTGGAGGGGAGAGACCCCGAGAGGGACCCGGACAGAGGGCTGAGGGGAAGGGACCCCAAGAGGGGCCAGGACAGTGGGTCTGAGCAGTGAGGACCCCGAGAGCAGCCGCGACTGAGAGTGTGAGGGGAAGGGTCCCCAAGAGTGGCCGGGACAATGGGTGTGAGGAAAGGGGACCCCCAGAGACCGGGACAGCAGGGTGAAGGGTGGGCACCCCAGGAGGGACCATAATAAGGAGGTGTGGGGAGGGGTCCCCTAGAGGGGCCAGGACAGTGAGGTGAGGGGAGAGGTCGTTTAGAGGGGTCGGGACAGCAGGTGACTGGAAAGGTCCCGGAGAGTCTGAGGGATGGGGCCCCGGAGAGGCCGGACCGCCACCCGGGGAGAGGAGACCTCAAGAGGGCCTGGGACCGCAGGGCGAGGCGAGGGGACCCCGAGAGGGGCCGGGAAAGTGGACCTGAAGAGAGGGGACCCCCGAGAGGGGACCCCAAGAGGGTCTAGAATAGCAGACGCGAGGGGAGGGGGCCCCAAGAACAGCGGGATAAGAGGAAGGGTCCCCGAGAAGGGCTAGGACAGCGGGGTGAGAGGAGGGGACCCCCAGAGGACTCGGGGGAGAGGGGAGGGGTCCCCCCAGGCGCTCGGGACCGCAGGAATGAGCGTGGGCACCCGCAGGAGGGCTTCGCGCGTCTGGCGGAGGCTCGGCCCGGCGGGCGGCGGCGGCGCCCGGGTGCAGGTCGGGCCCCTGCCCGCGCAGCGCCTGCGCGCCCCGGCAGGCGAGGGTGTCGGCGAGGGGTCGCGCCCTCCGGGTGTGGAGACCCCCGGGACGGCCGGCGCGGGGAGCCTGGGTCGGGGTCGGGCGCCGGGCGCGTGGGGACGGCGGCAGCGCGGGCAAGTGTAGACCCGGGGTCTGTGAGCAGCGAGCTCCCTGAGGGTGGTGTGTGAGCCCGGGACCGGGGCGGACAGCGGAGCCGGATTATATAATGAAACATCTCCCAAGTGGAACGCACGGGCTGGCAGCAGGACCGAGATCTTGGAAGGATACCGAGAGTTGTGCAGCCCGACCTCTTCTCGCCGCCCGCTGGCTTCGCGTTTGCCCCTTAGAGTTTGATGTGGATGCCTCGAAAGTGAGGGGCTCCGTGACCTTAACGAGAAGGTCAGGTGAAAAGTTGGAGGGGGCTTCCTCAACCCGCCGCGAGAAGTT